CTCTCATACGCTTTTGACATGTAAATATTATTGTACTCGCGATGATCATAGCGTCTTTGCAGAAGCGGTTTATCAAGCATTATGATCTTATGGCGCTTTCCAGCCGCCTCCTCCACTACTACGGTCACTGGTATCTCAAATTCATTCGAAAATTGAGGTGAAATGTTGTCAAACAGGCAGGTCAGCACACTGCTGCAAACAATGAAAGATGCACCTGACCGCAGTTTTATAAAGTAAAATAACTCAGACTAACGAGCTATAACATCATGAAGGCAAGTAACCGTGTTCTCTCGCAAGATTCATGCAAACCGGGTCGCGACTCAAGTCTAGCACGGCCTGAACACGGGCGAAGAGAGTTCTTATAAAGAAGGAGCACAGTCAACTCGAAGGCTACTTTTTTTGCCCAACGGTTCGGCTCTGCAGACGAAAAATGACCCAATCCCTGGCGGCAATTTAGGTCCAGCTGCATGTACATGTGCTCAAGCGGTTTTGCTTCTAGAGTCACCCCCTTTTAAATTTCGTAAAAGTGTGTCCCTCCCACTTTGAAGAGGATTAGCAATACCTTTGAATATACTATATTGTCTCTGCATTCAAGTTGATGTAAGCAGTCTCGCTTGGGCGCCGCAAGTCCCACCGTGGAGTGCCTTACATAGAAACGCTTTATAAAATATATTAGAACTTTTGGGCCGTTATATGCTTATATTTGTAGTACTGGATAAGAGTAAATGCGCTCTCTTTTGTGCTCGATAACCATCTAACTTGGCAATTATGGTAAGAAACTTTCAAGATGAAATAAGTTGAAATGTCACCCACCTGGCAATGCCGCAGGACAACTTTAGGAACCGAAACGTAGTACTCTTGATTAGCCAAAACCCATAAGTTATCCCTTTCTACATACTGAAAAACATACAGTAAATAGTAAGGAATCTGCAAACTTGGATGACGTACTTGTTGCTCCTCGATTTGAAGTTTTCCTTTGATAAAGTTAAATTCCTCTTCAATTTCTCGAGTGTAAGAAGTTGTGTGAAGATTTTGTCTAACTGTAAAGGTAAAGCGTTGAGGATTTCAATAATAGAACTGCTACCTGCGAACGCCCTGAAGCAACATGGGAAGATCAAACAAGAAACGCTTGTGTTGCGTTCCGCTGAGAGAAGAGTAACAGCTGAGCGTAATGATAGTAAAGATAAAACGGACACAGAATAATAAAGACTTTTTTACCGCGAGTGATGGGGATGAGTCCGCAACTTCGTAATAAGTTCAGACCTGACCAACCAGAAAGGATCGTTTATGTCGACAGAAGGGTTTCTCTGGGCAAGAAGCTTAATAGGAGACGACCGGGAGGTGCCGGACAAGTCAGAGGATAACGAAGGGCCTTCAGAAGCTGAGCGTTCTCCTAACAACAACAATTTCCTAGAGGGCGCCGCGCCAGAAAGCTGCTTGTGAGTCCTGATAGAATTGAGAGCGCACAAATACATAAATAACTGAAAATCACATACTCTGCTTCAAGTATACCAGAGCGCTCCATATCTATATAATCCTTTTCTTCCGACACAACTTTCGAGGTTACTTGATCGGGAGGTAGAGAGTTACCGGAGGAATATTCACTCATCTTTAAAAAAACGCTTGAAGCAAATTCTTCTATGAAAGGCTTATTATTAGTCTCAGGATAAACAAAGTAAAAATTAAGGTAAGTAAATAATTTAGAAGTTTTATAATTCGATAAACATCCTTTATTATAGGTATTATATCGTAAATAAAATAGTAAGTATCTAGAACTTAATTGAAACAAAGTACACTTAATCTTTATACCCTTTAGAACATAATTATAGCCAAAGAGTTTTAAACTTTTAAACATCTTTTTTAAAATTATTCTTTTTAACAATAATAAGGTTGCATAGCAAAACAAAAAAAGAAATAACATAAAGATGAAACAAAAGGGGATAAGAAAAATTGTTACTGTCTTAAACTTACCATTACCTCCATTCCTGCTATTCCCTTTTATAACGTCTAAAATTGATTCTTTAACATCTATATTTTTGTCAACAACAAACTTAGAAATGGGATTTTCTTTTAAGTCTTCAACTAAAGTTGGTGACGGGGTGAATGTTGCTGTATTTACTTCTATATAACTTTCGGTTTTAGTTGGTATATCTAGCTCTTTAGCTTCGGAATCAAACTTTAAAGATTGATAACGATTTTTAATGTCATCCCAGGAAGTCGAGCGAAGGTATGGACTAATAGTGTATTTTTCATATTTCGTTGTGTCAATCAGAAATAAACTTTTATTGTTATTCAAATCCAACGAATTGCTATATTTAAAGTATTTTAAATTTATATTTAAAATTACAGTTTAGTGGTTAGATAGACAGAAAAACTACTAAAAAAAGCACTCTTAAATAATAAGTAATCACCGTACAATAACACAAACCATTCAACTTTTTCACGGGCATCATTCATCCGAAGTGCTGTACGGAAGCCGCAAACTCGAACTGCAAGTTTATACTAGATGCGTAGGAAGCAAATAGACTATTGCAAGAGGGAGGTGATCCTTTACAAAAAAAGGCGTCTACCATACCTGAAGGTTGTGCCCTCCTAAAAGAAAAAATTTAATTTTTATATTTGCCTCTACAATTTGTCTTTGAAAAGATGAAAACGTTGAAAAGAGGATAACTGAAAGAAATATTGATATAAAAAGCCAAACACTAGCACACTATTGGTATAGTGACAAGTTTTACATTGCTTTCTGTTCTACTTATTAAGAAATTATAAGAAAGTGGATTAAACTGCAAAATCATCGATTAATGGCCATCTAGCGATAAAAAGTAAAACCATTAGTTTTCAATTAGTTCGCATCTTGACATAAAAGTACCTTGTCTTTTTCTCTCTCTGCACTTAAAACTAAGGTATGATAGTAGATAGAAGATTCAGTGGGCATACGGGACATGTTCGTGCATCGAGGTACGAGCGAAAAAAATTGTATTTCTTATACAGAGTTTTTTTCGTAACTTAATATATACAAAAGGAAGCTAAAGGGTTCACTATTAGAATTACGAGGACGAGGTTAAATATGCGGCCATCAAAGGCCGAAAGGAAGTTGCGTTGTAGGTCTCGAAACCCACGACCTTGAGTATGCGCGTCAATGCTCTTACAACCGCTGAGCTACGACGATAACTCTCGATTCCGGTATGAGGATTTTAGGTATTTTACCTCAGTGACTTCGAAATCGCTGTGACCAATCGTTAATGCTCGAAAAGAAGCACCAGATTACTACACGCCTCCAAGGAGATTCCTCAAGAGGTGGCAGAGCCTAGATATTAACTATGGTAAAAGTGATAAAACCAAGGTAACTTCCTAGTTGAAAAGATCATTAATAGTTTTTACAGGTTTGTACTCTGTCATGTCACCTTAGTTTAGCAAACCCTAACACAAAGGACTAAAAGCCAAAACAAAGATATTTCAAAATTTTCAAATATTGCCCCATGCGAGGACAGCTAACTGCTAGAAGTTAGCTTGCTTAAGAATGGAATTGAACCATGACTTATTATAAAGAAGTAAGGTTGTAACACAATTTTTAAGCAATTTGCTAATAAAGTTCCACTTAAGTAGAAAAAAATAACGAGCTAACACTTGAAATAATAGCTAATTAAAATTTTTTACTAAAGAACGAAAAAAAAAAGGATAAAAGGAGTTTATGTTTCCCCCTTTTGTACTTTTTTATTTCTTCAATTTGTTAAAAAAAAAAGACACAGTCGAGTAGGAATTGCTACTGCACTTTTTTTATCCTACTTTTAAGTGCGAGATGTATATGCTAGCGACTCCTTGTCTCTCGCTGTAACCACCGCTATCTACCTAGTATTCGTTCATATATTAAAGGTAGGTCACAACTAATGCTATACCTTACCGGTGTAAATTGGTGCTATGACAAGGAACTATAATGCCGCTATAGGGAAGGAAATTCCGGTTCCGGTCACCATGGCCTATAACTGAAGCCCCAATTGAAGCCTACTCAGGTACTAGATTTGAGATCTTTAGACACACCGACTAGGCAATGTTGACACTAGTCAGACCTTCCCCGCACTTTATTTACTCAAAAAATTGGTCCAAAGTTACTGTATTTTACTAAACTTTGAACATAAAATACCAATTATTAAATTAATTTTCTGTAATTTAGCGAAGATTATTTAATTTTTTAAAATTTCATTCTTATTGATAGGGGCATCTTTTTTTTCTTATTTCGTTCTTCATAAAAATAACTAATAAATTTATGTCAAATTTTATTTTTCCTTTACTACAAACCATGTTAATAACTATTATGCTTTTTGAAGACATGATGGTGAGCTATGATAAGCTAAAAGGTATTCAACTTTAACAAAATTAAGGAGTTGAAATAAGGATGCCACCGCAAGTAGGGACATCGCCATCGTAGTGGTTAAAGCGTAAACACTTTGTTGCGGATTTGATGCTTGGCGGTGTAGCTCTTGTCCTAATAAGTGTGGGTATGGAACAGTTTACCTCGCTTGGAGCCTAAATTTGGTAACTGTTGATTGGAGTTGCGTTATAGATAGCTGTCAGCTTTTTGCTTTGTGGTGATATACAGTTCGCAAGCCCTAAACTTTTATCACGCTTTATTTTATCTGATTCTTTCTTGATGGCCATTATTGAGGATAGAAATGATAACTTATCTGGAAGAAGCTTTAAAAATTATGTATTCTTATCTATGTTATTATTTTATCACGTTCATTTCAAAAGATTTTTTAAACACGCTTTTAATTTATCACTATGTAGTAATTCTATATCTTACCCTAGCGCTTTGGTGACATGATAGGAAAAGGTGGTTTTGGTGTAGTTTATAAATGCTTAGATGTGGCGACAGGAGAGTGTGTTGCTATTAAAAGCATTACCTCTAAAAATATATCAAAGGCGAAGCTAAAAGATCTTCAGGCAAATTACTTACTTTTTAACAAAATTTTTATTAATTATAGTTTTTGTACAGGCGGAAATAAATCTTTTAAAGCAACTTAGTGCTTCTAGTGAGGAGGGAGTCCAATACATAACTCATTACATAAACTCTTTTTACGCTTTTAATTGCCTGCATATTATTTTAGAGTATTTTAAATTACTTAACTTGATTTTTTATTTATTTTAAAGAATCGATTTAAAACTCAGGTTGTGTGAGCAAGGCTCCTTGCTCAGCATACTTAAAAAATACGGCGTTTTTCCTGAAAATCTTATTGCCGTTTACATGCGGCAGGTTGTGCACAAAGTGTAAAATCAAATCGTCTAGGTATTGATCAGATGAAAGGTCTTGTTAGGCGTATCTTTTCTTCACAGACAAGGCATTATTCACCGTGACATCAAAGGGGCTAATATTTTAACCACCAGAAGTATAATTACTAGCCTGGACTCTCTTTAGCTGCTACTAATTATTTTTATGATTTTGTAAGAGGGCGAAGTAAAACTTGCTGATTTCGGTGTTTCTGTTTTCTTAGAAGAGGGGGCCATAAGCAGTGTAGCTGGAACTGCGTACTGGAGTAATTGTTAATAATTAGTAAAACTATTTAATTTTTTTTCGCTCATTCTTTATAGTGGCTCCCGAGATCATCGAGCTCCGGGGGGCCTGCGAAGAATCCGATATATGGTTTTCCGGAACTTTTTGGACACGCATAGTTTAAAGTATTTCATGCAGGAGTTTAGGCTGTACAGTCATCGAACTACTGACGGGTTACCCTCCCTACTTCCACATGGCCCCCATGCCCGCCATGTACGCTATTGTCCAGAATGATCTTCCGCCCTTCCCAGAAGGCCTCTCAGACGTGCGTAGTAACTCCATCCTCTTTTAACTAGTATCTGCCTTTCGCCTAAATGCTTGTTTACATAGGCGTTGCAGGATTTTCTTAATAAAACCTTTCAAAAGTACATACCCAATCGCGGAAAAGCGGAGGATCTTCTGAAACATCCGTTTATTAAACAGGCGCTAAATAAAAAGGTTAATATTTGGTCTTTCTAAAGAGTTTTTATATACTCTTTTTATAAGACCGTTTTCGGCTATATATAGCAAGAAAGTCTCGACTCTGCCGTACAATGTATACAACTCAGAGAAGAGAAGAAAAAGAAGAAGAAAGAGAAAAAAGGTACTTACTAGAGAAGTTATTAATTCTTTTTCCTGCTTTTAAGCCCCAGGTAGATCACGCGCCCAAGGTTAAACAAAAAGAATTCGGGATCATGCCAGTCCTCATGTGATTACGCGGCACAGCCATCTCTAACCGCCAAGCTTACTTAATTCTACCAGGAAGCCCTCGAAAGTTGACTTGTCTCGTTTCCAAGACAGCGAATTAGAGGCTAACTTTTCTGGTTTAGCGGTCTTCCATTTGCTAATGATCGTTTCAAAAACTTTTTATAAACCAACGCTCAAGACTTTTTTGAACCAATGGACGTGGTTATCAGCTCAGAACAGGTGCAACGCTATGGCGGTCCAAAGGGACCCCTCGAACCTTTCCTGAAAGCTGCAGCTCAAGGGGATGACAGCGATGGCGGTATAATTTTTTTCTTAGAGAAGAAATTCGCTCTACTAATAATTGGTATTGCAGATTGGGAGTCGGCCTTCGAGGACGCAGAGAAGTTTTCTTTCGAGGATGCGAAAGAGCCGTTGCTCAAATCACAGCGGGTTTACCTCTTACTGGAACCATATTCTATAAACTCGAGACGCACGTCTGCCTGCTTTAGCTTTCAACCGGGCTTTTCATAGAAGACTCTGTCATGGAGCCGTCGTTGCTTTCAGAGGTTTCGGGGGGGTTGGGGGGGAGCAGCCCCATTTTTTATATTCTAAATCTTTTTAAATATCGCTTAAGGTCCCGCAGGAAAACGTTAAAACCAGTAACTTCAGCAACAGATAATATCTGTTGTCTAAACTGAAGCTTCCTCGTACAGTTCGCCTGACTGAGTACCAAAGGAGACTTGCAGCACTACAGGAGCCCCCGAGTACGGAGCGGACGTTTGAACATGACTTTATTGATGATCCCTGTCAAAATATTGAATTGATCCATAACACGAAGTTTCAAGAATGGGTATGTATAATGTTTATAACATGTGTTATAACTAATGGTGTGCCGCTACAGAATAGCGACTCGGAAGAAGACCCCTTTTCTCTAAAGATGGACATCAGAGGAGGTAAACATTATATGGAAGACCATTACCCCATCACTTAAACTTCCTTCTAGACGAGGAGAAATTGGAGGAGTACCAGCAGTTCAACGAAACGAAACAGAAAATTGCGCTTACAATTTCCAGTCTAGCAGAGGAAGATATGGAGGCGCTGGGGCGCAGCTGCAGCGAGCTTGTACTTCGATTTGCCTTTCTGCTCTATCAGATGGATTCGTAAAATCGATCAGGTCCATATGCTAGAAGACTACAACCAAATACGCGGTCTCGCCGAGCGAAATGGTATGGGCTTGTCTCCTTGCGAACTCTTCTGCAGTCATCAGTTCTCGAAGGGTTCAACACTCTTCTGGGGCTTCTCGAGTGTTTTCAAAGCCACGTTGCCAAGGCACATGTCCTTGCCGTGATTAACCAGGTCACTGTTGGTCTCCCACGCCTAGCGGGGTGGCGCCCACTCTCTTGATAAGACAGATGCTCACAATGGACGTGCTGAATAAAGACAGCCACTTATGCGACCAGTTTTGTCTTCTTGGCGGACTATCTGCCGTGCTGCCGCTCAGCGGGTCCTGTTATGCGCTAGTAATGCTTTTGTGTTTTGGGACGTAACCTTGTTCTATTGTATTTGCTTGCAGACCTTGCGTCTTGAGGTGGCAACATTTATAGAGAAGTGCGTGGTATCCTGCCTGCAACAGTTTATCACGTGCAACGGGGTGTATGCTTTAGCATCGGTACTCTGTTAATTCTGCTGCTACGCCGAACTATATTGACGCAGCGCAGTTTTTGAAGGAGGACTATTATAAAAACACAAGGCTTGTCTCTGTGGGGTTGCAAGGGATGAGCCACGCTATTAACTCCGCTGTGAGTGCACTTTTTCGTCTCCCTTCCTGCTACTACATTTAGTGTTTATCAGGTAAACTTTCACAGTATGGACGAAGAGTTTAGGGTCAAATTTGGTGGGCAGGTAGCACGTGTTATACAAATAGTGATGGTTTTCCCTTGATTGTTAATAACTACAGAACCCGCTGAAGAAGATTGCCCTCATTATTGTTCGCCACGAAATACTAGCACTTCTTGTCCGCCATCTTCAGACTCTTCTAGGAGAGAGAGTTGCCCTTTAGTTTTTGTGGCTGGCATTGACATTCAATTTTTTTTAACGACTAAGCGCGAAGAAGAAAATATTATTATATCCATTTTTGAAACGCTTTGCGTTTTTGAGCCGATTCGGGTGGCTATGGCTCGTAAAAATTTTCTCGAAAGTAGTTATCGTTATATTCCTGCACTAGAATTCTTAACCCTGATCTCTTTCCTACTAAAGTTTTTGTCGAAATTCTCAAAAGGGTGAATAACGATAAGCTTATCAGACTTCTGAAGATCTTAAGCAGTGTGACCGATTGTTATCTTATTGATTACAGGGTTATTGTACATTGGCTTACTCTTTATACATCGCCTTCTCACGGCTTTCAACTACAAAGGTATCCATGCTAGAGTGCATAACCAACACGTCGTTGGTGAAAACACTTTTAGACATCACGGAAGCTCCCCGTGTCGAAAAAGTATAGCCTCCTGCGGCCGCTATTAAATATTGTCAGCAATTAAAATTGTCCCAGATGGCCCACTTCGAGATTGCAAACGTGCTCTTCCGTGTCTGCCACTCCAACCAAGCACTTTTACGCCAGGCCGCTGCGAGTGGAGGCTTCGAGTACTTTTTACATTTCCACATAAACTTTCCGTATGCTTTATATATCCAATTGCCCTTGTTCTTGCTATTGGCTTCGTATTCACCGCAATTAAGGCAGTTCCGAAGCATAAGTTCCATTCCTTTGTACGAACTCTGCTTCTACGCAGAAACTCGAGGTTTACTTATCCAAAAATACGGTACGTGATAACTATTCTTTTCTTCCCATTATAAAGACTTAAAAAAAACCGCAATGCGCAGGCGTAAAGAAGCTCATCGACCTGTACTTTGAGTTATTTAGGGAAAGCCAAGGCGAAGACGAAATCCAAGCCTCGTTCTTGGAGGCTTTATTAATCTGCGGGAAGACAAATTTTGAGGAGGTCGAGGATATTTTCTTAGAGGGGTCTAATTTCGACGCCATTATTGAGCATTTTCGCTCCGTGGATTTCGTATTTAGCCGCGCCTTTAACAAAACTGCGGTGCATTTTCTCTTTTCTTGTACAGCTTTAGGGTCTCTTTTTAATAGAACTGTTTTTATCTAGTCATTGGTAAATGAAATGGCGATGATCTCGCGCAAACTCGCTTCGGGCATGTCGAAAACGAGGATTGTAGAGACGGCCTTAGACAGGCTTAAAGAGGTCATCCTTAGACCAGCGCCCTCGCGTTGCTCTCCTTCACATGTTATGGTAATATAAAGCTCGCTGACGGGTTCACCAGAAGGGAGCTGATGACGCTGCTGAGGAGGCTGTACCAAGCAGCGGAGTTTCCAGTGAAAGAAAAAATGGTTTGTCGGCAGTTTTACTTACTTAAATTCCAGCGTACTCACCCAGTGAGCAGGTTGTCAAGCTAAAGCTCAAGGACGAACTAATACGGCTTGCTGGAGATTACGCAGTTGCAATCAGAAACGAAGTCAAGATACTGACTGAAGCTATTGATAGGGACTTTCCGTAGCCAGAAAAAAAAAGTCGATTTTAAAAAAGTTTATACAAAGGAAGACTAAAACATCAAGTGTGTTATGAGAAAGCGGTAGTCACGATTAAATACACTCAACCATAAGACAGGTAAATATTTACAAAAAACCGATTTTATAAAAGCCATCACACTGAAGGAAAATAAAACCTTTAATTTATAAAATGAATAAGATCTGGCTAGCCACTGCAGTTTTAAACTTTCATGTATGCGCAGTGACTCAAGTTTATTCGCGAGTAGTTGATCTTAACTTTCTAAGCACGTTATAGCCATTACCAGCAAAAAGCGCCAAGTTGCAAAGCATCAGAGCCCTCGAGCCTGCGTTCTGAGGTTTTATAAGAGTGGCATAATACGTCCAAACCAGTCCAGTTATAGTAAGCGCTGAATTAATTCATAATTTCAAAAATAAGTTGTGGGATCCGGGCTACGACAAACACTTACAAACAGACTGCTTTATATCTACTTTCTCCGCAGGAAGCAATCCAAAAAGTATTTGAGTTAAGGGCACCAATGACAGGACTTATAATAAATAGGTAGGAGATATTCTTTATTAAAACAACTATAATATCTTAATAAATATTAAGCTACTGACTAACCCCATTTCCAAGCCTATCATTATTTGCAGTTAACGGTCGCATAGTAAGCAATTAAAAAAAGAAATATAGTAAGCAGCAAAAAAATTTGTTGTAGTTACTAACCGGAGCCAAGATGGTCACTGAAGGGGGTAGAAAGGCATGTAAGGAATTAATATAAAGTAATACTTATTACTAATAAAGTGCATAGCAACCGTCATTTAACTGGCGTAATAATAAAGATTTGGACTCAATTTTCATAGCAATGGAATTGCTAAATAAACGCCTATTAGCAATCCAAGGCTTCATCAGGAAACTCATTAAATAATAATTCATGACCAAAGGGACTGTTAAAATTTTATTAATAACTTTTCGCAAAACAAAAAAATTACAGTTCTTTAACTTACCAGAGTAAATGACTAATTTTTGAATATGACGGATGTTACTGACTAAGAGGATTTAATTATATTTCGTTACTTACGCTTTTAAAAAAAGCACTCGCTAGGATTAAACTGATTATACTCGCTGCCTTAAAAAAATAAATACTACAATATTGCGATAAACCTTGAGATGTCGAATTATCTTTTACAAAACAGTGAAGCCACCACCCCCGACACTGCTACTTGGGTGCAACAGAAGTTGTATACATAGTTTATCGACAGAAAGTGAGTAGTCACCGTAGCTCATTGGTTAGAGCATAACCTCCGCAATCTAATCGATACCCGTCGGTACCAACTCTCATTTTTCTGGTTTGGTTACGTGTAGAACTTCCCTATAAAAACAAACCCTAATAAGGTGTCGGCGAGGAATAATTTAACAAGGCTGTTCTCGCTATTCGTATGTAACGTGACCTCCCCTAGTACGGCCCCCAGGGAAAGCATTCCCGCGGGGGATCAACAAAAACTTACTGCTTTTGCTAGTTTCTGTTTAGGGAAGGCAATCCGCGCTTTGCGGAATTGAAAATAAAGTTCCAATCTTTTATTACTTTATTAGTCAATTTTTGCAGAAATCCTCCCAAAAAAATTTAAGGTCCTTTCATTCGTTATTTTAATTTTTTTTTTTTTCCTTACGACAGCTTATGACTCATAACTCGCCAAAGAAAAGCATGGAAGTGGGCAGAAAATATAACTGCAAGATACTCAGGAACAAGTTTGTCTAAGTATAGAGGTACAGTTATTGTAATAGCAAATATTCATTAAATTTTGTAAATTTGTGAATCTACCAATTAGTAACGTTAATAACAAATACATAATAGAATTGCCGACCTTAGCATACCGATATAAAAGTTACTACTTTCTTTTTTTTCACTCTTCGTAATAGAAAAAAAAAAGCATCCAAATTGGGTTACAAGTTTAATTTTACGTCGAATACTAACAAAAGCGAGTATATTTCGCATAATAGGTTATTAAAAAGCACGTGACAGACGATACTGAACAGAACATGTTGGTAAGATGAGTCATAAGCACGTCATAAGAAAAAAAGCATACAAAATCATGATTGAAAGGATCTTAAAATATTTTGGGAGGATTTTCTGCAAAAATTAACTGATAAAATAATAAAATATTGCAACTTTATTTTCAATTCCGCAAAGCGTGGGATCCCGTTTGCATTCCTCAATGGTCACTGCTGTTCAGCGATTTACTAAGCGTTGCAAGAACGAGTTTTAACAATTGCTGTAAACAGGTGGACTGAACGTTGTAGGTTTATTAATTATCCACGTCACAAGCAGTTAGTAACAGTTTAAAATTTTGAAATTAAAAGAAAATTTAAACTGGTTGTCTAAAAGTTAAACTGTTAACAAAGTATTTTTAACTCTTACTTAGTAGGTGTATTATATATAAACTTCGACCAAAAAAAAATTTCTTATATATATGTTACTTAAAATATTAAAGGATGGAAGATAACGTGAAAGCTTTCTGAAGAAATTAAAAAAATCGATATCACCAGTTTATATTTGCTGAACTGTCAAAATATCGCGTATAACAAAAAACTAAAAAAATTAAATTAACATAAACGAATATTTAGAAAATGCTGCAAACTTTAACTCCATTTTAATGAAATTTAAATATATTGTTGTGTTTGAGCTTAAATAATTTATTTCAACGCAGTCTGAAATGCTAAAAAAAGAAAACGGGTAGTACAAGTACAATACTTAATATTTAGTAAATTTATTTTGGGTCGTTTATAGAGTTGCACATGAGAACTTAAGTGAGATCCATTTTCCTTATTCATTTCCTTTTTCTGTGCAGTGGGTTTAGTGCACAGAATTTCGTAATTGCCAAATAAATTACGTGGTTGGCCAGCTTATACTATTTTTTTTAATCTATATATATTTTATAATAATATATTTCTCGTTGCTTACAATATATAAGTTTTCGATAACTTTTTTTCGGTTTTCTAAAATAACAAATGGCAAAACGTTTAAGATATTAATTGGCTTGTGTGATTAAAGAAAGTGGGTTCAGTAGTAATTTATTTTAATTAAAGTCTACTGGCATGTATCAACAAATTTTATATTTCTTATTAAGCTATATATTAAAGTTTGTTAAGGTCAAAAATTACCAAGTTAGCTATAAAAAAAAAACATTATTTTAACACGGATACACAAGAGTTGCTCCCTCGATATGTTTGCCAGCTAAAGTAATAGTTTCACTGACAATAACCATAAAATTTTGCCTAGTCTATTTAGTTTCAATTTGGTAAAATTATGCAGGAATGCAGAGCAACAAAAAATCTAAGTTACCTTTAAATATTTATTGAAGCCAACCGTTTTTTCTATGCTCGTGTCAGTGGTTAAAAAAGGCTGTCTTCAATATTTTATACTTTCAGTTACCTGGTTTAGTGTATAAGTAGAACATTCTTAACGTGACTTGACAATTTATATTTTCAGTGACTTTAATAGTTTAGGGCCTTGAATTACGTAGCTGTTCAAGGACCTTTTAAACTTAAAAATTGTCTTTTTAAATCTAAAACGAAGTTCAAAAAAATGATTTATATATTACAAAGAGAAAATAAAAATCTTCAACAGTAATAATTTTATTTCTTGTAAACTATACGAATAGGCATAATTTTAGAAAAACACAAATCTTAGTGATCAGAAGGCTTCAAATAGGATAACACAATTACACAATATACAAAAATTACATAACACAGGCAAAAACACACTATACGGAAAACACAAAAGTAAAACAAAAAAGGAATATAGAACACAAACGCAAGACAAAACACAAAAGTATACAGTTATAATACACCAAAAAACAATAAAGCAAATACACAATACAAACCCCCTAAAAAAATTCACAGTAAAATTGACCGTGAGTAATCCAATCAAAAACCTGAGAAACAGCCAATTAAAATACAAGATGTAGAAATGGCACGTTTTATAAATTGAACACAGACTGAACAAAGAAAAATTTTATAGAACTAACCTAAGTCAATTAAATTTAACTTTAAAAACATGGAAGCCTTTTTTGACCTTTCGTGCAGGTATTAAGTACAGACCAGAAACCGGTCAATAAGGTATTTCTTGCTTTAATATTTTTCATATCCTGCGTTTTATATATTTAATACACTAAATATCTTATTTGATTATACACATAATATGCATTTATATATTATAAGTCACATTTAATATACTTTTATTGTATATATTGTAAACAAGTTTGATATATATAGTATTACTTTTAAAAGTTCTCCTTTGCTGTTTATTCGCTCAATTATTACTCTATTTTAAAACTCTATAATTAAAAAAGTAGCCAAGCGGCCTGAATCAAAAAGCACTCTATAGTTTGTCGCTAGCTGGTAAACCGCAGTGTCAAAGACAGTTAAGGCGGTTAACCAGAGGTTAAAATTTTCATCAGCGCCGCAATAGACGAAACGCCTCAGAATCGCTTTAGGGTAACATAGCTTAGTTATTTTTCGTTGAAAACCAATTGCACTTGTAGATACTACGAAGTCAACACTTACGAGGTCCTTCTGACGTAGCCATTTTTTTTTAAATTGTTTATTCTTCGTATTATCACTAATAAAATATTAAAAAACATATTTTTTCCCTTATTTATTTTTCGTACTGTTATTATTTAATGTGTAAATATATAGCTTCTTAATTTTTAGTATTATTCTTTAGGGGTTTAAAACAAGTAACCACACTCTTTCATCTCTTATTATCCATGACATTTTTTTAAATCTTTAAATTTAAAAGCTGTTTAGGAATAAGCCTTACCATTAATGGCTTATGCTCCATTAAATATAAATCTTTGACTTGTGAAAATGTTGCACTCTTTAAAACTTGTCTAAAGAAAAGTTCATTTATAGCTACCACAGCTTAAACTTACCTTTATGGACGAATTCTTATATTAAACAAGGACTGAAACCTATAATTTCCGCCGATATAGAGCGCTTGTATTTACATTACACTGTAGAAACCTATTTGTACAGTATTTTACCAAGAATTTAACAATTAAACTGAAAGAGAGTTATATATATATGAATTTATAAAAAGGGTAGGTACGTATCCAACTTTTCTTAGTCATTATCTTTGTTGTAGTATATACTTACAAAGTCACAGCTTGGATTGAAGAACAAGCTTTTAATTTTAATTTTTTTTAGTAACTCTGCTGAGAACTACTAGTTCGAGCATGTTAGCTCCCACCTATACTAAGATTAATTCATAATAAAGCTACACTTGCGAAGACTTGAAGTGTGTCACCTAATTTAACATCTTAAAAGAACCATTTAAGCCAGCCTTGCACTAAAATGCTAGCAAGCCGAATTGGGTGTTGGTAGGTTACGTTGGGCCTAAACGTTCATGCACTAATTAACAGTGGAGATCAAACATAGAATAAATATATTCACAACATTAATACAAAATTATCTTGTGTTGAGCTGTTAAGTGCGCAAGACTATCCTTTACTAAACAAGGGTCTACTGCAATTTCTGTAAAGTCTTTGGACTTCTTCTTGATACCATGGAAAACAGTTCGCTGTTGTAATGCTATCAAAGACTTCGTGTTCTTCTTCACCGGATCCTAGCAAATATAGTCCCGTTAACCTAATTCAGCAGTGGGTAAAACTGTGGAGACTGTTTTACTACGCCGAATAAAAAGGTTTGTAAAAGCACACAAAGCGTCCTAGGATTTCACTTCAAATTTAAAGAGGTTACTAGGCGACACATAAATTTTTGCATTGAGTGGACCACTCGGAATTTCAATTTCAATATGAATCAAGTGGGCCGTTTCCCTCAACAATAAAAAAAAAAAGGCCTTCGACCACTTATGGTACGATAGCCATCCATATAAACTAAGAGCACAGGGTACTCCTTAAGGTATTTAGCGTCCTTTCTATGCGGACGCACCTTTAGAGTGAGAGTTGGGATTGCGCTGTCGCCTTATCGTCGACTTAAAGTTGTAGTTCTGCAGGCTCTCCGCGCTCTCCCATATTCGCGTTACACTCTACGCCGATGACACTGCCGTTTTCGTGTCCTCTAATAACCCCTCATCATTACGACAACACTTTCGAAACGCTACCTGGGTACATTGGCCAATTGGTGCCGGCAGTTGGGAGTATGCATTCACTGCTTCCCTGTGCTGTGATTGATATGGAGGCATCTAATTAGTGGTGTACGGTAAATTGAAATTTATGGTTCTATCTTTGTGTGTGTACAATATAACCTACACCCTTATATAGTTGGACCGAGGTAGCGCGAACCCACCAAAATTCGTATTTTAAACATTACCGTTGACACTAAAATGCTTTTAATAATGGGAAAAGCTTAGATATATATTTTTTTAAATTGTTCACGGCATGACATCCCTCTTACTAAAAAAAGAGTAATTATACTACAACGTGAAGTAGGTTCATCCATACTTGCAGTTCGTCTACTACTTATGATATATTATTGCTAATTTCTCTTCCTCTAAGACAGTCGACTACAGCGTAGTTAAAATTTAAGCTGATAAGATATTTTATATAAACAAAATGATAATTAATAACTGCTTGTAGACAACTAGTACTAGTTTTTCGCTCTATATATTTTTTGCGTTCTAGACCTGTAATGTGGAAGCCAGTACAATAGCTATCAGATATGAACGGACCAATTTAGAAGTATAAAATGCAGTTCATTGTGGAATAAACGCGTCGCTGAAAGAGAAAAACCTTAATTATGATTTTCTTTTACAGCACTGGCACGGAAGGTCATTTTTTAAGAGACCTAATCCGCTTAATTTTATCCTTTTTTTCATAAGGGGGTTAGGACAAAAATGTTCACAGCGTATTTTCCCGTATGAATATAATGACTGCCCTTAAACACTTAGTAACAGCGTTTTATTAATTGACTGGGCTCCGTTATTGGACCCTAAGATGGTAATTTTTAAAAAACCACCACCAAGAAGAGCGACCCTGACACTTGACCTAAGAATCCTTTCGTATCATTGTCCATAGTTTAAGCTTCCTAATTGTGGTACTATTTTTAAATAATTTGCTTTTTAGAACATTCTTGAATAGACCCTTTTCACCCGTTTAAAAAATATTAATAAAAAATTAATTGTGGTTTACATATTTTATAGTTAAATCGAAAAGTTTACAGCCGTTCTTTTAAAGGGCGCATTTATCAAAGATAATATTGTTTTAACTGCCTGCAGAGGTGATCACTTTTTCGACGTGAAGTCAAGAGGGGATTTCTAACCTCCCAACTTATTGGATATTTTATGGTTAGATTGATTAGAACATAAATTCACCAACTAAACCATAGGTTATGCGTAAGGCTTAAAGGCGAAACTAGGAGAGTAACGCTGTTTTATGGGGGCATAAAATAAATTGAAGGAGCTCCACTCCTGCCTAATGTGTTGGTCAAAAAAATCTTAAATTGTATATAGCGTTGAAGAAGCGCGCGCAACTATATCCAATAGAAGGGCCTGTCCGAGTTACAGCTAACAGTTAATAGATTGCAGACAGGATACAAACTTTAGGAGTTTGGTTGCCTACTATTTTGGAAATTAATCTACCTGAGGACTCGCTTTTAAACTTATATTTACATTATATGAAAGTCTCGCCCATCAAAGCAATTTCAAGCTCTGGTGGAAGCGCAGGTTAAGTTAATAAATCACATACCGTTTTCCACCTATTGTGCTAACAAACGCTATACTTTAATCCTAGTGAACATGCATGGAGTTTAGAAATAACGTGCGGTTCTCGATCGTTACGATCTGGAGAATAAGCGAGTTCCATTCAAAGGTGGATTAGTGTCTGGAAGCAGAATACTATTGTATCGGATCATGACAGTAAACTAGCCGCTGCATTAGAACTATGGAAGACTTAGAATCCGCCAGGGGGGTTACTCAACTACAGGTAGGATAACAGCTGGTGCAAGAACGTTTGGAAAGGCTGAGGAGCTGTTAAGGATTCTTTTTAAATTCCAAGATGAAGTGATGGAGAGACAAGATATAATGACACAAAGATTGTGTCAAGAAATTCAAGCAGTTAAAGAGCAAATACCCTATTTTAAGCAGGAAGACAGTACTTCGCTCAGTGATTACAACCTTTTCATCAGGCAATTTATATCTCAAGAGAAGTTAGAGGAATTTGAGGAGACATGCAAGGCGATGAACGAGTATTATAAGGGTTTGCATATTTCAAAGATCAATGGAAACAGCGGGACAAGTTGGAAGAGTTGGCAGAGGTCATATACCTAGCACTTACTCCTGGTTAAAAAAGAAACTGAGGTAGACGATCACATGAAGGATTTAAGTGTGACTCGTGCAAAAGGCACTATCTTAAGGATTGTAGTTTTCCCAACACAAATAATAAAGCTTTAAACCATATAATGTGTCGCTGTTTAAAAATGTAAAGGGAGATATATTGAGTGTTGAGGAGAGCTTAACTGATCAGCCTGCAATAGAAATTGTAGAAGGCTTTATTAAAAGGGTTAATTGTAACGTATTGCTAGATCTTGAATCAGTAATTAGCTTCATTTCCAGCAACTCGCTTGCTAGTTACTTTTAGATAAGAGAATTATAAGTAAAAAAAAACTTTCATGACTTTTGGAGATGTATAACGTGCTTTCGTGGACAATGTTTCCACTAACATTCATTTAAATGTAGTAACTTAAGAAATATTACTTAATGTAGTTAATAAATCTTTGTCTCATGGTGTTGATATACTGCTACGAAAGAGGCATTATGAAATAGTTGGGTACAAGTTGGTAAATATGAACGAGAGTGAGTGTCCAAGAGGTCAAGAGTTTGGCTCGTCGTATCTATAATCTGAAGTGGAATCCGAATGTGAAAGGTTAATGAAGTTTAAGCCATTAAGAGTTAAGTTGAAAGATAATATGTCACTTGTATGGACTAAATATAATATTAAGAATAAAGTAAAGATAGCGATAATCATGAGAATGTGAAAACTGCTTAAAGTTGGTTTTTTTGGAAGACTTCCGACATGGATTGGGATCACATGAAGTTAAGGTCCCGAAGCCCAACATTATGGGAGCATCAAAGGAGGAAATTTGGCGAGAACCTGAAAATACATAAGGATGTCTGACACTCTTCAAGGACTATACGAAAGATGTGTGATAGAAAGATTTAAAGCGCCGACTGAGAAGAACATCAATATTATGGTTAGAGAAAAAAAGCGTTTTTGGGACCCTAGATAATGACAAAACCTTCTATGAAAGGGAGAGCGAACAAGAGTCTAGAAAATATATTGTCTTTAACATGTCCGATGATAGACGTGTACATAGTACGATTCTACCTTTGATTACGTCAACGCCCTCTTTGAGTACTAAAAGAGTGTGAATTATTTTCTACATGGTCTTAAAGATAAGTCTATGAGGGCGACTGAGGGCAAGTAACTCTAAAGAAGAGCACCTGAAGAGCTTTAACTATTTGATTATGAGCTATGAACATTTTTATGTTATATTGAGATTGGAAAAAAGTTGTTTTGCTAAACCTTCCGTTAACTGGGTGGGAAGGGACTAACAGAGAGGAGCGTTATAATGAGTGACGGCAACTAGCAATAAATATGCCAAAACCTAAAAACAAGCAGGAGTTGACCAGCTTCTTTCAATCGCTAAATTTTTGGAGCCGATATAACTCCATATTGCAATAGTTATGGAACCTTTAAGTAATATGCTTAAGAAGGGAGCGAAATTTGAATGGGGTGGGCAGCAGGAGTTAGCCTGGTTTAATGTGCTGAAAAATTTAAAAAAAAGGTAGTGAACATGAATTAATAGAGCAAAGAGATGAAAGCGACATTGGTATGAGAGGAGCCCGGAATACAATGATCGAGTTCACTACGTTGCCTCTGTCAGTACTAAATACAGCATCACAGGCAGGAAAGCCTTATCAGTTGCGACTAACTCGTCACGAGGATTGCTCGCTCTCGAAATGACTTTATGGTGGAACCAAACAACACCACACAAATAGTTAACTATTTACTTGCGGTGCATGACCAACTAACGGATTATACAACTGACTTACAAGCATTAGTAAGAAAGGACAGCAATAGTCTTCTAGGTATCTTTTACAATGAACACAACTCGTTAACTGTTTAGAAGAAAAAGGGTTAACCGAATAAAGCAAGTAACGAGTAATATCTATTAGATTTTAAAATATATTTCGGGTGAAGCTAATGTTATCGCGGACTTGATATCACGATTACCCGCTATCCAGAACAAGAAAGAAGTTTATGCAATTTGCAATCAAGTAGTGGAAGAAGAAAGTCTTGAGTGAGTGCGATGTCTTCATAAAGAGTGGTTCCATATTGGAAAATCTAAGATGAAACAGTTGTTCAAGAATAATGGTCTGAATAGACATGGAAAAAGTTATAACCGCATGTAACACGTCAGCGTTCTGGTAATAAAAGTCTTAAACCAAGGGAAAATACACAGCCTCAAGACGACTGGAGCACTTGTTAGCAGACACAATGGTTAAAAGCCTAGGTCTATTAATGGCTTCCGCAACGTGTTAGTAATTGTGGTAGATACTCGCGCAATGTGTGTGGGCGACACCTTTAGTCAAAGTTAGTGGGTGCTCCGTTCAGGAGGGTTTTAAAGAGATATTTAAGTGGCAGGTCTCAAAACACTTTACTTTAAATAGACTGTCTGTTTTTAAGAACCGAGAACTAATGAACAATTTAAATGAGGCTGGAAAAAAAGAACATTTCGTTACTGTAAACCACCACCAGTCCAATGGTATATGTGAAAGAACTATCCAGAACATCAAAAGGCACTAGCAAAGTCAAGTCACTGAATGAAAGAAGAATGGCCGCACTTGCTAGATTATTATATTTATGAGCATAAGAGAATTTCCAATGTTCTTGGAGAAGACTCAGCGCTTGGAGAAAGTAAAAAAGGGGCCCACTATCCTAACTATAGTAGTAACGACAAGTTGTGTAGTTACAGTAAGGCATTGGACAGAGTGCGCATCCAAGTAAGTGAATTATAAAGGAATTGAAATTTTAAACAAGGAAAAGAGGAATGGACATGAAAAGACGGCAAGATTGTCAAGTTATCAATGAGGATGCTATAGCCGGAGGAGATAATGTATACGTTAAATACCCTGAAAGTAAAACTAAGAGTAAAAATTGGTAAGAACCTAGGAAGGTAGTAGAGACACTTGCAAATGGGGTGTATAAAATAAAATACTTGGGAACACCATATTGAGACGCAGAAATCAATTAAAGAAAATAAATGGGGTCACCTTTAATCTTAGACAAGACCTGGAGGATCTAGGCAATAAAATATTTGTGAGCGAGTGTTATAGGGATAGCATAAACGAAAACGAGAGAAAAATAAGAGAGAAAGTATTTAGTAAATTCAAGGGTAAGAACTGGCTTGGTTGACTCTCTACGGAGTTGGATGGATACGTCTATCTCAGAAGAGGTTTAGGTTTAGGAGTTACTTATCCTGTCGCTCACTAGGGGCACAGACACATATTACATATAACCCTAGCTAGCAAGTGCTTAAACCATTTCCTTTCGTGAATAGGGATAAAGGAAGAGTAGTCTAAAAAATTTAAAGGTTGACTTAAAAAATAAAATAATCTTAAGTTCTCAAAGCTAGAAGCCAGCGAAACAACCCTTAAAAAAAGCTTTTATTTGATCAAAATAGTTATAAAAGCCGGTAGTTCGCAACTATTTGGCTTTGCAACGGTTCAAAAGGCGACACGCGGCTTCAATAGACAGCCCAAGCATACCAAGCAAACCAAGGTAACCTAGGAAATTTTTAAATTAGATTAACTTACATAAACCTTAAACAGAATAGGAAAAATATAATTAAAAGTAAACGTAATATAACTAAGTACTTCTAGAAAATATTTAAACCATAAGTTAAAGCCTTTTTTAAAATAGTTACCGAAACAGCCTTGCTTTCTTTTTGAGGGATCTCCAGAACTGTAACCACAAACAAAAGTTATGAAGCCGAGATTACGAATCAAAGCGCAAATGGCAGCATATTCAGGGCGAAACTAACACAAAAAAAGATAAATAATATAATATACTAAACTTGAATATATGTATATATATATATACAGAAGAATTAAAAGAAAATATATTACAATGGCGCTAAATAGTAAAAGCAAGTAATGCGTCGAAATGTTTTCAACGACATTCTGATGGGCTCTCTGAATGCAGTTAAACTTTTTGCCGTTTTCATCGTTAGAATCGGCATACATCTAATAAATTTAATTGGGTTGGGATTGAAGTAAAGTTAACAGAATACTCTTTAACGACGAAAATAATGAATAAAGATTTACATAAGATTTTAAAAAACAGTATAAAATTTAAACTTCGAACCTGAGGGTAGTCTATGTTATACTCTTTTCTGGCTCTAGAAACGTTAAAACCAGCCCTTAAAATAAATTTTTAATTAAAAGTAACATATCCGAAGAGTACAAGATAACTCTTAACACTACTTAAGTATTTAGTGTATAAAAGAAAATAACTTCCAACCATAAAGGAATTAAGGCCGAAAAGATGCCACTTATAATAACATAGCCGTGTCCAGGGCGTAACACAGTTTCCATAGTACTTATTAGCTATTATGAACTTTAAAAAATGTTAAATATAAAAAATGCCTGTCAGGTTTACTCTAAAAACTAAGTATAGTAAAATAAATAAAGAGAAAATAGGGTGTGACGTCAACCGGGGACAGCAGAAGATAACAGAAAAGCGACTGCAAAAGAGCACTGCGAGAGATACCGATGAAAGACGCACGAAAAAAAAGGAAAAAAGCCTATATAGAAAAAAGATGGTGAAAAATCGAGGGCTGGGATCTGCAAATAGTCACAGGCTCACCAAAAGTGGTTAATGAGAAAAATTAGGCATTCACACAGCCAAGACAAAAGAAGTTGCAACAAACCCACAAAATTACTTAAAATGTTTTTATTATAAAAACAGTAAAAAAAACTTGTATTTTTAAAATAATTGAAAACAAACATTTAATGACCAACTTATGACCCCTGACATCGCTGGATCTTTCTTTAAATATATAAGCTAAACTAATTTTTCATTAAGCCTATTAAAATG